GCACATTGGAAATAATAAAACTGTAGATGCTATTCAGAATTGCCTTCAACAATTGAGTATGATGAAAAACATGCCTACATACCATTTTATGCAAGTCCTTAATCAACTTGTGGTAGTGATACTCTTGTCATAGCTTTTATCCCCCCACATTTCCTTGCCCATGTTCTTCTATGTTTCTCGTATTTATGAATTCTATTATGAACTTTCTTCTAATCCCGATTCCTGATGTTTCCAATCCTAATTAAGAAATATTCTATTCCAGTAAACAAATTTGATTTTTCACGGGATTGTCAAGCTTAATGGGAGATGGGTAGGGAAGGATTGACCATTTTTGAACTCCAGAAAGACCATATATGAAGGATTTTGAATTGTCTTCCCAATCATAGCTAAGTGCAGTCACATATAAGAATGAAATTTTAAAAACCAACTCTAAACCTCACAGAACAATGGCAAAAAAAAGAGAATGAACACACAAAATCGTGTATAGGAATCAATAAAATCATTGAAACATTTCAACAAACACCTTTTGAGCATAAAAGTGAAACAAAATAGTTGAACAAAAATTTAAATATTAACATCATGAATCTATAAGGATATAGCAATGTAAATAAGGATTTAACATTACAACATATATTATATATTATCTACATAAAACCGAAAAAACAGAAATAATTGTGACCTTAAATGCACAAAAAGTGGAATAAATACCTCATATGTAGTGATAAGAGCTGCTGAAGAGACTACCATATTTTTCGTGAGTTGATAATTGATGGTAAATCGAAAAAGATTTTGAAATTGAAGAGAAAACAAAATAGAGGAAGAAATGGTGTAGAAGAAGGGAGGGGGGAGAGGGGAGAAAGAAGAGGAAGTGTGCGCAAAAGAAGAGAGGGGGGGGGGGAGAGAGGAGAGAGAAGTGGGGGAAGAGGTAAAAGAGGTGGAAGAGAGTAGTTTTTTGGGAGTAATTTTTTGGGAGTCTATTTTTTGGGAGCCTTTTTATAGTCTGTCCTAACCGAAAATTGGACAAAAGCATTCCTTTTCTCTTTTCTTAAATCAAATAAGAAAATAATTTTGATATTAAGTCTCAACGACTTCCACAACACATATTTGTCATCAATTAGGAAAAAATCAGATGATGATATTAATTAAAACAAATACATATTTAATTAATTAATAAAATCTAAACTCTAATAATAGTGCCAACATATGGTTGTCTTGGAGATCCAAACCACATTCTTCCGTTGTGTTCTTCAACATGACTGACAAACTCTAGAGTATTTCCAATATTACCATTCACTGCTTGAATCAATCTACCATTTTTATCAAACTTCAAACCCACCGGTTCAGTGTATCCTTCTCTTGTTGTGTTTAGTGCAACCCAATAATCTCCTTGATCATTCCGTATGATGTTATCGGCAAACCTGTCAACCCTTGCAAAGACACTTGGAGTTCTTGTTCTGTTATTAGAGATCAGAAATTTTAAGATTTGATTTTTTTGTGATTCAACTACAAGAAGATACGAATTATCCCTGGACAAAACGACCCCGTTCGGAAATGCCAAGCCGTTGTGTAACACGCTCACTTGTTTGGTATTTGGGTCAAATCTTAACAGCCTTCCGGTACTATCTCCACTTGAAATTATCGTTGAGTAGTCCCTACATATATATGATGTTTTCTTAGAAAATGATGCATGCGATTAATTCCTAAACATAGTCAATTGTAAACATGCATAATCAGTTGTGTATTGAACAATATTTTACCTTCGTTGATAGTGAATGCTACTATCGGTAATATAGACAACTCCATTCATAGGATTGATGCCTAGATCATTAAGGTACATGAAGGGATGTCCCTGAGCTGAATTTGCAAGTTGGGTAGCAATCCTGCCATTCGGTCTCACTTTCATCAACCCGAAATAAGCATTTGTGATATATAGTTCACAAGTCTTTGGATGAAACTTTAATCCGAGCGGTCTACCACAAAGCGGCTCCCTTCGAGCATTGGTTACTCCATCGCACAATTGTCTATTCCTAATAACCAAATTGCATACTCATTTTTTAATAACAAATATAATACACCGTTAGAGTAAATATAATTATGCATCATATATACTGTAAGATTGTATTCCTAATAACAAAACTGCATACTCATTGTAGATTTTTAGTCTACAAATTTAATATCGATCCACTACCTAGCTAATTCTTTATGGTTATTTATCCACCGAGTTGTTTTTTGTACAATATATTTCTATGAGTCGAGATCAGACGTTTTTCCCTAAGCTACAGATGAACCTTTTTGAATAAAGATAAATTATTCGTCCTTTCCCTTGATTTTACTAGCCAATCCAATATAAATTAAACTGCTCAATACAAATTAGATGAAAATATATACGTAGTATACTCCATATTTCCATATAAGGCAGAGATGACTTTAACTTGTAGCCTTTTCTCACTTATAATTCCGGATAGAGACTTTGTAGCCTTTTCTCAAGTATGAAATATACTTGTAATTACTTTAGTCATGTTATTTAATTATCACATATTTTATTTTAATACGGAGTACGAAATAATTTTAAGAAAAACCTCTGGCCATGCATATTTTTTAAATGTAAGATGTGAAAACAAAAATCCCAAAACCATATACACGAACGTATAATGGATTGGAAACATATTTGTGCATGTTGGAAATAAATAAATAAATATTTGATTTTGTGTACCTATTAGATGTCATGACTAGGGGTGGGCACAAAATACCGTAACCGACTAACCAAACCAAAAAACCGAAAAAACGATGTATTTTCCGGTTAACCGTACCGGATTGTTTAAAAACTTACGGTACGGTTAACCAACCGCAAAGAAAAAACGGTAATGGTACGATTATGGTTAAGATTATGTTAATACCGGTTAACCAACATGTACATGTTTTGTAACATTTGCGCCGAGCTGCGACGTGCTTCCCATGAAAATTGTGCTCATGCTTCCAGTTCCCTCCCAAACAATCATGTGGAATATATTATAATACGTACATATAGTGTTGCTCTGTATAGTTACTCCGTATTATTATTACTACGTATTATTATTATTATGCCTAGCTGGGAAGCTCTACTTTAAAAAAAGCAATATGTCAAAAAAAACTATGTATTACTGTATTATTATATAGCTATCTGTCAAAAAAAAACTAGTTGCCTAGCTGGCTAGCTCTACGTTTACAAATTTGTGCTCCGTATGTACAAAGTTTAAAACAACAAGAATATTGGTAATTTTATCTTTCTCTTTCGGTTTATTGGTTAACCGTTATTGGTTAACCAAAATATTGGTTAACCGGTATCCGGTTAACCAATGTTATGGTACGGGTAACGATATATAAAATTGCGTAACCAATATCACGGTTAACCGAAAATTGGTTAAGCAAAATGCGGTTAACCAACCGTGCCCACTCCTAGTCATGACAGCAAATTCAGTCCAGTGGGGCAGATTCTTTCCATCTCAAGATTCTTCCATCCGAAACACCGACATACGGTCCTCTTCCAGTACAATCAAAAGCAATACTCTCCAGGCCAATGATCCCATTTGGTAAATTTATTTGATAGTAATGATCGACTGGAACCGGGAAAGACAACTCGTTGGTCATGAATATGATAAACATAACGAAAAAGAATGATGAAGAAAAGAAAGTGTTTAATGCCATGGATAAGCTAGACTAATTAAAGATCGAACAAAGAAATATTGGGATATGATATCATTTTTGCTTAAGGTGAAGATACGATTATGCCTCCAATGCCTCCAACGTTGAGCATCTAATTGTATTTATAGAGAGAAAACTACTAAACTAGCTAATTTAATTAAACAAGTATCCTAGTCCTAATGAGTTAGTGGTTATGGGTAGTCATAATAAAGTAGGATTATGAGTTAAAGTATCCTAATCCTAAATCCTAATCAAGTATCCTATGTGCACGCACATAACCATCCTTAACCTTCTAGAATTTATTAAACTATCGGATTAATAGTTTAATATTCTGATTATAGTCAATTTTGTAATTAATTTAAGAGTGCTCCGTAGTCCGAAATTACATATCGCCAAGTACCACGTAACTAGTTACCCTACCCGTGCGTTGCACGAGACTAAAGCAGTTACATACGACTTTAGATAGATTATGTAAGAAGTAAGGAAAAAGTTGATAGTGAATCAATTAGTTGTAAACATAAGTTAAAATAAGAAGTCATGTTTAATCTAAAATTAAAAATCAATGCCCAAAATTAAATTTTAATCACGATATCGTAAATAGTTGTGCATGCATGTCCAAGGAATTGTCAAAAAAATTATAAATTATTATAAACTTATTTGTAAACAACGTTCAATACACAATTTGTTGCTTGTCCGTCTTCGTCACATATGACAAACTTCAACCCAGATGGACTTGTTACTCTCGAGACTCTCGAGACCGCCAAATACAACTGTCCATGCTTAAAAACAGGCCACCGGAGGAAGATGTCTACTTTTTCTAATAATTGTCCCTGACTCTTATTAATGGTCATTGCATAGCTAACCATTAACGGAAACTGTCTGCGCTGAAAAGTGAAAGATACTCTAACGTCTAATGGTGTTAAAGTAAGTCGTGCATGATTGCTCCTTGTAATAATTAGCTAAATTCGTGCATGATTGCTCCTTGTAATAATTAGCTAAATTCGTGCATGATTGCTCCTTGTAATAATTAGCTAAATTCATTGCTTCTTCGGTCATATAAAAGTCGGGTAAAAAACTCACCTTCACAAAAGAGTGTATAAAGTTTATTTGGACCGTAATTCCTCCCAGACCAGATCAGATCAGACCAAATCAGATCAGACCAGATAGTTCAGACCAGATCAGACTTGGATAGTTATAAAAATACAAAGAAACCAGACAAGACCAGATCAGTCTAGAGCAAACCATACTAGCAAATTACTTCATCCAAAACATCCTAAAATAGGCGTACAAAGAATCCATCTACCGCAATTGGGTACGAGGGTTTCTTGTTTTCTTCTTATCACGCATTCATTCTTAAGCAACGAGTACTCCTTTATACCCTAATCTTTGTGAAATTTGAAGCAAATTGCGGGGAGAAATAAAGTATATTAAAGATGCAAAGTTTAGGCGAAGAGGTTAGCATTGAAGAATTGACTTCGAATTTGTCTGCTTACAGAGAACAGCTTCAACAGGTGTAAATTTTTCCCTTAACCGCTCCAAAAATTAGCTATTATTTGTAGCTCAAGTCTGTAGATTTATCATCTCGAAGGGTCATGTCATTTATTTGTTTAATTGGTTTGAATCAGTAGGATTCCGTCCGTGTGAATTCATCTTTAGATGCCGGCCTGTGCGATTAACTTAAGTTTATCTAGTGTACAAAGTTGAATTTTATGGTTTCAATCTCTTTTTACTGGATTTCCATTGAGGTGCTGGAAAAAGCTTTTGGGGGTTTGGTTTATATTGGTTTACACCAGGGAAAATTAAGATACTGCCAGTTTGTATTTCATCGGTTTAAATTGGGGAAGAATATCAAAGACTTGCTTCCAAGTTCCAATGTGTCGGGGAACTCACTCTTGGAGAATCTATCTGTGGTGGAAGATGGCTCAAGTATATTAATTCACTATGATATAGGATTCCCTTACTCTTTGTCCCTCTCTCTTAACCCGCCCAGTAAGCATTGTATGTTACTAGGAGTCTATGATGTTCTCATATTCATGGATGTTCTCATATAGTGCTAGTCTAGTTTCTATGGATGTTACTCAGACTAGTTTCCTTAAAAATGACATTTTTTGTTGAGTTATATTTTTAGTGCTGTCTCCAGTCTTCCACAAAAAATCTTTTCTATCATTTTCCAGTGTGTGGTTGAGTTAGAATGAGGCGGGTTAAATGGTAAAACTTATAAAAGAGTCATGCATGATGCATCAGACCTTCACTAATAGATGCCGTGATTTTTTACCTACAAAATTATTTTAGGTACGAATTTTTAAATACCTTTCTGTGCTTTGTCTGTACTGTGTTCTTTTTAAATGTTTACTTAGCAATTTATACGCATTTATCATATAACTTTGTCGTCTTCTACTTTTCACCAGGTTCGTACACTGCTGAAGGATGACCGTAGCAACTCTGAATACTTGGACATGGAAAAGGAACTTGTTGAGGTGATTTTTTCAGTTAGTATTACTCTAGTGTATCCTCTTGGGGAACAATGAGTACTTTTGTCTTGTATATTACTCCATATGAATTTCTTATTTATCAAGTCCTTGAGTTCATCTCAGTTTTACAGTCATTTATACCATACTTTGTTTTTTGGGACAGAATTGGTACTTCTAGCATGTACTACAGTTCTCTATGTCTAGATATATATATCAACATACCCATGTACTTGAATTAACAAAACCTTAGATAGGTAATCCTCAAAATATTATCTGATTTTTGATATCATATATATCTTTCATTCTCTCTCTCACACAAAAATTATATTGCCACGAAACTAGCAGTGTGAAGGAATTAAGGAATGCCAATGACTGAAGAAACATAGTTTTACTCTTGGGTTTGAAAAGGTGAGGGTTTATTTAGTTAGAGTGAATTCACCAACATGGTAATGAAAAGTGGTGATTTTGTAAGATTTTGGACCACGAGAACCATAAGGTGTCCATCACTTGTCTCTTCATTCCATTGCAGGTCTGCAATGTCATGATGGCCAGCCTGCATCTGTCCCGTGATTTCAAACGTCCTCTGAGAATCTAAGTCTAGCTTTCATAAAGATTTTACTGATTTACTTTTATGTGATGCTGATACTTTCTTGCTTAAATTGGACCATGCTAATTATCTGCGAATCCAGGTTATTGCCTTGACAGAAGAGCTTCTTGCAACTGCAAAACAAAATGACAATATTGAAATAGGTATTGGGAACAGTGCTGATGCATCTTATGATTTTGGCCATCTAGAGAGCACTTTGGTAGGTTCCAAACGGGAAATATGATATTTTAGTTGTGTTTTCTAGGTATTCATTCGGAAGTTGTCACATTTTGGATTGGAAAGGAACATGCATACTTTTTCCTGATTTATTTTACTCTATTTCCTCTGTCAATGGTCAATTTTACTTATCCACCTATTCTGAAACTCAGTTTTTATTACTTAAAAAAAGACATAAAAGAACCATACACGTTTTCTTATAATAAATTTAGTTAACCAACAAAAAATTATAAATATATGCATATGATTCATGATTATGGTAGTTCTACTTTACAAGCTATATAAGTTGTCGTTCTCTGCTTTTTTTAAGATATAAATATAATATATAATACTACGTATATAATATATGTAAGACCAATGTTTTTGAGAGATCCATGTCTTCATGTTGTCAGAGTAACCACATTCCTGTTGGCACTAAAGTACAAGCTGTTTGGAGTGAAGATGGAGAATGGTATGTAGAATCTCTTTGATTTGTTCGCATGTCCTTAATATCTGATTATTTTCATTTTGCTTCACCATTTTTTTTGTGTGTGGTTAATTTAGTTGAATCTTCAGGTATGACGGAACCGTTGAAGCACATACTCCAAATGGCTATCTTATTGCCTATGATGGGTGGGGAAATAAGGAAGAGGTATGCGTAATTGCCTTTATGCTTTAGCAAAATGGTTTTCTACAGGCTAAGTTTGCATGGGTCTTGCAATTAATAGAAAAATGCAATTGGAAATAAATAAGGGAAGATCGACTTTTTGCTTAAGGCTACATGTTCCACTCACAAACTATGCAACAGTTTCCTTGAAGCTTGTGACTGACCCCATCTGTCCCAAAAAACGTCTTGTTTTTCAAAGCATGACTCGTCAGTTCTGGCAAAGTACATCTCTTAAAAGTCATGAAATCCTATGTTGATTTTAAAATTATTTTTTGGCTTAACTTAACAAAATTTTCATATGTATTCTATTTGTAACTTTTTGGCAAAACACATGAAAAATTAGCCTCGCCTGATCTTAATGATTGGGGAGTATCATTTTTCTTTAATGAGTATGATCGTATTTATTTTATCAAACTAAACATTGGAAATACAGGTAGATCCCGCTAATATTAGGCTAATCCAAGGTGAAGTCAATCCTTTGGATGAAGCTGAAAAGATTGCAGAGGCCACTAAACAGGCCCTGAAGCGAAAGATTGCACAGGCTTCCATTATTGATTACCAGTCTAAGAGTCTTCCAGCAAAGCTCCATATTGATCCTAATGACCCGGAAGATGTGGTACGTTGTATTTTAGGTCCCCATTTACAGTTTCATAATTAGAATTGTCATTTTTGCATTTAAAAAACAACTATTCAGAGCTGTTAACTTTCAATTCTATTGATCAGCAACATCAAGAGCTAGGGCTCGTTAAATACTTATGTGAATATTAACTACTTCTTTCATCCCTCCACATAGATAGTCCAGTGTTCTATTTTGGTCCATGCCACAAAGATTATCCACTTTTTTCTTGGTTAGGTCCACAAAGATTATCCAGTTTTTCCTTACCCAGTCATACTCCTCTACAAATTCCCAACATCAAATTCAAACACTACCACACAAAAAATTGTTAACTTCGCCAAGTATAAAAATGGAAATTGCCTCAAGAAACTCTTCAAAATAAGGTTTACATGGTTCCCAAGAGATAAAATTAATTTGTCCCAGAAAAGAATTAAATTAGCGTTAATATTTATAGTTTACATATTTAGGAACTCCAGTAAAAGTTGTATGAATGAGAAGAAACTGAATTTGAATATAGTAAAACAATTGATACTCAAATTCACACAACTAAAAGGAACTGTGTCGACCAATGAATTGTGAAACAGACAAAGTTCATTGGGGAGTAATGGTAAATGTGTTGTTGCTTGCAGAAGGCATCCAAGAGAAAGAAGATCCATGCTTTTAAGTCAAAAATGCGGATAGAGAAACTTGAGGTGGCCCAAAACAAGAGGCAAAATGCTTGGCAGCAATTCCAATCAGCTAAAGGCTCTACAAAGAAGGTATATATGCATGCATGCAAGCTAATGATCTGTTTTAAGATTTCACTCATGTTTTTTGTACAACACTTTCAGGTTGGGTTCTTCTCGGGTCGAAAGCGGGAAAGCATATTCAAATCTCCTGCGGACCCTACTGGGAAGGTGGGTGTAACCGGAAGCGGGAAAGGTTTGACTGATTTTCAGAAGAGAGAGAAGCATTTGCACCTTAAAGGTGCCGGTGTTGAGGGATCTGATGACTACTAGGGTTTTAAAAATATCAATTTCTCCCTTTATATTTTTGTTTTTAACTAAAACAAGCTTCAGAAGTGGAATTCAGATCCTTGTTCCTTCTGTGTCTGATCATGTATCTGTTATGTGTGTTACCAAGAACAAAAAAATGATAGTGCAATTTGCGTTAAATTTGAAACTAATGGCAGAGGCCTGGTGGCATTTCTGGCTTCCCGGACATAAAAAAATAAGATTTAATTAACAAATCGCCTGATGCATGAAAAGTTATACAGTAGTTTGTTTCAGCCCAAAGACTAGTTTGTTTCTGGCTTCCTCGGCTTTTGCCAAAAATCGCCTAATGCATGAAAATAGACTCATTACTCCATAATCAGTCTATTTTTCTGTCAAGCATCAGTTTAATAAATTTACATATTTTATCATGTGTACTTGATAGATTACCTGTTTTTTTTTGCCTTCCACAGTTGCACTCCAAAAACTAGGCATACATAACTTACTGTTTTTTTTTCCTTCCACAGTTGCACTACAAAAATTAGGCATACATAACTTACTAAATGAGCTCAAAATTTCAAAAAATGTTTACTATGCTCAAATAGTAAATAGTAAATATGTCGGTGCTCGTATTCGTTTGACCTTTTTCTTGGTTTGAAATTCCACACCATTATGAGCTCGTATTCGTTTGACCTTTTTCTTAAATTGAGTATGCACCATGTTGCAAAATTGGATTAAAAATTGGGAAACTTCAGATTTATTTTTCATTAAATAAACTCACACATCTCTTGTAAAATCATCAACAATAGATAAAAAATGTCGTGCACCGGAGATGGAATCACATTTATAGTCTTCCCAAATGTCACCGTGTATCAATTCAAAACAATAAGTTGTTTTAATGCACTTGTATGAAAGGGTAGTCTAGTATGTTTAGCTCTAGTGAAGGGATCACAAAAATCATTGCTACTGATGGATTATAGGGATCCAAACTATATAATAAATGGAGAGATTGAGCTAGATAATTGGAGAAGAAGATGAATAGTGGAAATGATATTGTGTATGAATTATGAGTTAGGGTTTACAAGCTCCAAAAGGAGTATATATAGAAGAAATCCGGGTCTGGGCCTCTCATATGGGCCTGACAGACCCTGTTACACAAATGGACTGATAATATGAAAGGCTAATCTAGAACACCTGAATAATAATAATGTACAATAATGAAAATGCTATCAGTTGAGTGTACGTGGGCCGCTGTCCGGGCCCAATAGTCGTGAGACCCGGAGGACCGAGTCTATATACTCGAGGCGAAAGGGAGTAGAACTGTGTGCTAATTTGTCGTCTTCTGGTGAGTAGACTTCGTGAAAAAATTTGAATTTCTTGCTTTTTGGCTAACGGAGGCGCTAAGTCCCCCGCTCTTCCAGTCCCCCACTCCTTGAGGTGAAGAGGAGTAGAGTAATGCACGTCTTGAATAGGGGGGCGAGGGTCGACACCTTTTGATCCACAATAGGGAGATGCCTCGTTAAAAACCTCATTAGGAAAAAACCCTGTGGGAAAAAATCCTAATGAGGGAAAAAGAGTACGCCGGATGCCCCCAATATGAAGCAAAAGGGGTGAGCCTTCGGCCTAGGTGTGGAGCTGCAACGCTGTCCGTCTGCTACAGGGGTGGCCGATACCATTCTCTAGATGTGAGCAGCTCGGCATGATAACTAGTCCCAGTCATCAAATAAAGATGACTAAGAGATAGGTCGAGTGACCGTCCATAATGTGATGTCCGGGTCATCAAATAAAGTGACCAAGACATGTGGCCGAGAGGCCTATAAGAAGTCCAAGCCATCAAATAAAGATGACCAGGAGAGACGGCCAAGTGGCCGGTATGATGAGCTCCACGTCATCAAATAAAGATGACGAGGCGATGCATGGGCGAGGTGCCCGGATGAGAGCTCCATGTCATCAAATAAAGATTATGGGGTGATGTATGGCCGAGAGAGGCCTATATGAGAGCTCCACGTCATCAAATAAAGATGACGGGGTGATGTATGGCCGAGAGAGGCCTATATGAGAGCTCTACATCATCAAATAATAAAGATGACGGGGCGACGTATGGCCGAGAGGCCAACATGAGAGCCCCACGTCATCAAATAAAGATGACGGGGTGATGTATGGCTGAGAGGCCTGCATAAGAGCTCCACGTCGTCAAATAAAGGCGACGGGGCGATGCATGCCCGGTGGGCCTGCAACTGAGCTTCGTGTCATCAAATAAAGATGACGGAGCAAGATATGGCTTAGAGGCCTACAAATGAGTTCCTCGTCATCAAATACAGATGACTAAACGATATGTGGCCGATGGGTCTGTAGATGAACTCTTCGTCATCAAATAAAGATGACAGAGCGATATATGGCCGATGGGCCTGTAGATGCGCTCTTCGTCATCAAATAAAGATGACAGAGCGATATATGGCCGATGGGCCTGTAGATGAGCTCTTCGTCATCAAATAAAGATGATAGAGTGGTATATGACCGATGTGCCTATACATGAGCTCTTCGTCATCAAATAAAGATGACAGAGTGATATATGGCCGATGGGCCTGTAGATGATCTCTTCGTCATCAAATTAAGATGACGGAGCGATATATGGCCGATGGGCCTGTAGATGAGCCCTTCGTCATCAAATAAAGATGATAGAGCGATGTATGGCCGATGGCCTATGGCTGAACTCTGGGCTCCTTTAGCTTTTTAGTCGGAGACCGCAAGACGTTCGCTATATCTGAATAGGGGGACGAGGCGGTGGACGCCTGTCTGAATATGAGGACGACGACGTTGATGAGTCGGTCCGAATATGAGGGCGACAGCGCTGACGAGCCTGTCCGAATATGAGGACGAGGCGATGATAAGTCGTGCATCATATGAAGGCGATGGTCACCATCCAGAAAGGGAATGGCGAGCCTGGTCGCTAGATAAGGACTTCGGCGCTGAAGCCGGTCTAAATGTGAGGACGAGGCGATGATAAGTCGTGCGTCGTATAGGAGCGACGGTCGCCATCCGGGAAGGGATGGCGAGCCCAATCACTATAACAAGACTTTGGCGCTGGGAGTCGGTCTTGATATAAATAATCACGTCGAGGCCGAGAGGCTGATCGCGATGTGCGGACGGCAATGATGAGGAGCCAGACCGAAATAATGATGACGAGGCGATGATGAACCCGATCGTCATATAGAGGCGATAGTCACCATCCAGGAGGGGATGGCGAGCCTGATCGCTAGCCCAACACACTCGGCGCTGATGAAGCCGGTGTTGGGATAGGGTGTCACGTCGTGGACGAGGGGCCGGTCGTGATGTGAGGTCGTCAGCACTATGAGGCTGATCCAAAAGTCCAAGCAACAGTCGCCATCCGATGAAGGAATGACTGAGACCGGTCTTGGGGATAGATAATCACGTCGAGGCCGAGGGGCCGGTCGTGATGTGCGGACGACGATGATGAGCTGATCCGATAATATGATGACGAGGCAAGAATGAAGCCAATCGTCATATAAGGGCGATGGTCACCATCCAGGAAGGGATGGTGAGCCCGATCGCTAGCTCAAGACTCTTGGCGCTGAGGAAGCCGGTCTTGAGATAGATAGTCATGCCGAGGTCGAGGGGCCGGTCGTGATGCGCGGATGGCGATGAAAGGATCCAATCCGAAATATGATGACAGGGCAATGATGAGCCAACCGTCATATAGAGGCGATGGTCACCATCCAGGAAGGGATGGCAAGCCCAATCGCTAGCTCAAGATCGCGTTGAGACCGAGGGGTCTGCCGCGATGTGAGGATGACGGCGATGATGAGTCGTTCCAATAATTGATGACGAGGCCATGATGGGCCAATCGTCATATAAAGGCGACGGTCACCATCCAGGAAGGGATGGTGAGCCCGATCGCTAGCTCAAGACTCTCGACGCTGAGGAAGCCGGTCTTGAGATAGATAATCACGCTGAGGCCGATGGGCCGGTCATGATGTGCGGATGGCGATGAGAAGGAGCCAATCCGAAATATGATGACAGGGCGATGATGAGTCGGCCGTCATATAGAGGCGATGGTCACCATCCAGGAAGGGATGGCGAGCCCGATCGCTAGCTCAAGACTCTCGGCGCTGAGGAAGCCGGTCTTGATATAGATAATCACGCCGAGGCCGAGGGGCCGGGCGTGATGCGAGGACGAGGGCGATGAGGAGCCGGTCCTATACTATGATGACGGGGCGATGGTCACCATCCAGGAAGGGGTGGCGAGCCCGATCGCTAGCTCAAGACTCGACGCTGAGGAAGCCGCTCTTGAGATAGATAATCACGCTGAGGCCGAGGGGCCGGGCGTGATGTGAGGACGACGGCGATGAGGGGCCGGTCCAAAAATCCATGCAACGGTCATCAATCGTTAAAGGAATGACTAAGACCGGTCTCGAGATAAATAATCACGTCGAGGCCGAGGGGACCGGTCCGAAGATCCATGCAACGGTTGCCATCCGATAAAGGAATGACTAAGACCGGTCTTGAGATAAATAATCACATCAAGGCTGATAGGCCAGTCGTGATAAGAGGACGAAGGCACCGAGGGGCCGGTCCGAAGATCCATGCAACGGTCGCCCTCCGGTAAAGGAATGACTAAGACCGGTCTCGAGATAAATAATCACGTCGAGGCCGAGAGGCCGATCGTGATATGAGGACGCCAGCGATGAGGAGCCAGTCCTATAATGTGATGACGGGGCGATGATGAGTTGGCCGTCATATAGAGGCGATGGTCACCATCCAGGAAGGGATGGTGAGCCCGATCGCTAGCTCAAGACTCTCGGTGCTGAAGAGGCCGGTCTTGAGATAAATAATCATGTCGAGGCCGAGGGGTCGGTCATGATGTGTGGACGGCGATGAGGAGGAGCCAGTACAAAATATGATGACGAGGCGATGATGAGCCGATCGTCATATAAAGGCGACGGTCACCATCCAGGAGGGGATGGTGAGCCCAGTCGCTGGCTCAAGACTCTCGGCGCTGAGGAAGCCGGTCTTGAGATAGATCATCATGCCGAGGCCGAGGGGCCGGTCATGATGTACGGACGTCAGCACTGGGAGGCCGATCCAAAAGTCCATGCAGCGGTCCTTATCCATAAAGTGAGAGGATGAGGCCCGTCTTCAGAGTATGATGATCACGCTCAGACCAAGGGGTCTGCCGTGTCGATATAAAAGATCGCGTTGAGATCGAGGGGTCTGCCGCGATGTGAGGATGACGGTGGTGATGAGCCATTCCAATAAATGATGACGAGGCGATGATGGAAGCCGATCGTCATATAAAGGCGATGGTCGTTTATCCGAGAGGGGAATAGCGAGCCCAATCGCTAGCTCAAGACTCTCGACGCTGAGGAAGCCGGTCTTGAGATAGATAATCACATCGAGGCCGAGGGGCCGGTCGTGATGTCCGGATGGCGATGCTGAGAAGCTGATCCGATAATATGATGACGGGGCAATGATGAGCCAATCGTCATATAGAGGCGATGGTCACCATCCAGGAAGGGATGGCGAGCCCAATCGCTAGCTCAAGACTCTCGGTGCTGAGGAAGCCGGTCTTGAGACAGATAATCACGCCGAGGCCGAGGGGCCGGTCGTGATATGAGGAAGGGCAAGGCGTTGACGCCGGACTGAACATGAAGGACGGTGGAGCCGGTCCGAAGATGAGGGACGGCGTTGGGCGCTCGTCTGAGATGAGGGACGGTGCTGGGCGCTCGTCTGAGATAAGGGACGGCGCCGGGCGCTCGTCTGAAGATGAGGGACGGCGTTGGGCGCTCGTCTGAGATGAGGGACGGCGTTGGGCGCTCGTCTGAGATGATGGATGGCGCTAGGCGCTCGTCTGAGATCATGGACGACGTTGGGTGCTCATCTGAGATGATGGACGGCACCGGGCGCTCATCTGAACATGAGGGACGGCGCTGGGCGCTCGTCTGAAGATGAGGGACGGCGCTGGGCGCTCGTCTGAGATGTACTTAGCAGAATACGTGGCTTGATTTGTGGGGATTTTATTTTTTATCGCTCGAGGCCGGCGAGTGTGCGGTCCTCGGCTTCCCTCTTTTGATTTGTGAGGATATCGCTTTAGGCCGGCAAATGCGCGGTCCCTCGGTTGTCCCTCTTTTATATTCTTCCTCTTTACTCTTTTGAGCGAGGAGTGGGTATCCTTCTTTCAGGCTTCGGCCAAGGGGGTCGATAGTCCCTCGGCCGGTAAGGAGTCATACTGGATCGTCATGTGATCTCAGGGAGGTCCTGTCGCCTATTTATGACGCGGGCTAAAGCTTTTGGTCGGTTACCGACGGCTGCCGTTTCTCATCCCTGAGTTTGGGGATTTTTGTCACCTCGTCCATGATTTCAGACCTGTCGTCCTGCTGATTTCGCGGATAGACGATGCGGTGAGCTTCCCATTTCAAGATGTGGCCTCTTTGCGGGCCCTTCGTCCTGGGGACACCGTCAGCCTTTCCTGAGCATTTTCGCTCTGAGGGGCCGAAACGGTGTGCTCTGTCGACCTTTCCTGAGCATTTTCGCTCTGAGTGGTCGATGTATTATGCGGTATCTTAGACTGAGGTGTACCGTTTACCGCTTTTAAGCATAATTATGTCGTGTGCGACCGATAGCGGCTCTCAATTTTAGATGCCCGAGTCACCATATAAAAGTGACTAGGGTAGGTCGATGGACCTAAATATAATCCGTATCATCAAATAAAGATGTTCGGTGGACTAGAGCTCGGGTCTACCATTTTGGGGTTTTCTGACCTGGTTTAATGGCGGTGATAAAAATAATAACGCCAATAATAATGCATCATTAGCGACCTCGGGAAATTTTAATCCGTCATAATGGTCTTCACCACCTCGGGGGTTTTTAACCCGCCATAATGGTGGTGGAAATAATATAATTAATAATAGTAATAATTACACTACTATCACTTAATAAATATTTTAAGTGTATAAATAGGAGTATTGGGCACTTGGCTTTTTTATTTGGACTGAAAATGAGCGTCCTGAATTGTAGCCAGCTGAGGAACCATTCTGGACCCAAAATGTGAACCCCTCTCGCATGGGGGGCTGGGCCGTATTTCCTTGTCTGCCAAATTTGGGAGTTTGCTGTGAAGACATCCATGAGCTTCCAGCATAACAGCATCTGGTGGAGCCACACCGGCAGATACCAGATACCAGTCACCGACGAGGGAAGAAGGACCCTGGTCGCTAGTTCCATTGGACAATCCCTTGGCAAGCAATAATGGAGGAGGAGCAATAATTTGGGAGTTGCTGGACGAGAAAGAACAACCCCGCCTGGCCGCTACTTTCCGGCGAGTGTGGTAACAACGTCGGAGATCCCACGCACAAGTCCTGAAGCCAAAAGCGGCGGAGCTCATGCTCCTATCCCAATGGCGCTGCTGGTCACCGGAAAAGGGATGGGCGCCATTAACGGCAGAAAAGGCTTCTTATATCGAGTGCTGGGGACAGGTTTAAGCTCGATTTTCCTTCTTCAGGCCATTAATCGCGGAGGTCCAAAGCTCTAGTTCTAGCGACGAGCATGAAACCAATGAAATTCTCGGAGATCTCTGCTGCCTGCGACGAAATAGGACCCCGGCATTGACAGTGAGGTTCTGAAAATCCCTTTCACTGGGGTAGATACGGGATTAACAACATCGAAATCGAAATCCAGAATCGCAGATGAAGTTTGTTGCCAAATCACATATCGAGATCTGGAAATTTCACACGAACACCTCCACAATTCTTCATCGATCTCCTCAAATTCTAAAAAACTCTTGTGATATTTCAATGGATTTGGGGAGGATCTAACTTGATTTGTGTTCAATCTCTCAATGAGATAGGGATCCCTGTCATTAAAACGTTCTTACACGGTTTACGACGTTTGACTGACCATAAAGTTAACTGATCCCTGTCATTAGTAGAATTATTTTTAGTAAATAAAATTTACATATTTAGAAATTACATTAAAACCGCTACAAAGCTTATTCAAGAAAATTTGAATTTGATAAATATTGGATATATAAAGTAAAAAATTAAGAACAATGCACGTTGATCGGAGAATAGTGAACGATAACCTTTAAATGGGATAGAGATAGTAGTTTGTTTCAGCCCAAAGACTAGAATTTCAGTTTGAACTCAAGTCCTCGGCTTTTGCCACAAATCGCCTAATGCATGAAAAATAGAACGGGTTGCTCCATATTCACTCTATTTTTCTGTCAAGCATCAGTTTAATGAGGATTACTTATTTTTCAATGTTACTTATTAGATTACTTACTTTTTTGCCTTCCACAGTTGCACTCTAAACATATAGAGTAAAATTTCATAAGAATAAAAAATACTACCTTCGTCCCACTAAGATCGGGACAAGAGAAGGTGACACGATTATTAAGAAAAGTGGATTTGTGTGGTTGATATTAAATTGATAAAGTAAGAATAAAGTAAAAATGATTTAGAGCCACACAAACTTTACCAAATTTGGTATGAAATAATCTTAGTGGAATTTCCCGAAAAGGTAAAATGAGACAATCTTAGCTAGACGGAAGGAGTATTGAACAAAACTTGTTCAATTTAAACACAGGTTAACTTTACCCAAAAGGTCAGAATGAAGACAGGAAGTTGTAATTTAAGACAAAGGCTCGACCATACAGGTTTGGGGAGAAAACAGGCACCGAGTTCACCTTACGAACAATTATTTCAACCTCCAAAATAGACTTGAAAATTTCAACGAACTAGTAATCAAATAAGGCACGAAAAGTATAAGTTTATGTTTATTTCTTGCTAATTGAGCTTCTTTGCACATTTTAATACGGAGTATGTTGCAAATTGGCAATGCAAAAAAGACTAGCTTATTCTACTTAAGTAGTGGAGAAAGCAAGTAATATCCACTGCAGGAAAAGTAGAAGATCAAGAGGTCTAAGGCTGCCCACAACCCACCAAGTGAATAGCTAAATATGAGGTTTTCAACCCCAACTTTGCTTCAAACCAAGTATTCAGAGGTGTTATTGTGGCTAGATGGCACCCACAATGGGGGTTGATCCAATGGTTTTTTTTATCAGATTTAGGGGGATAAGCAATGCATTTTTTATTTTTCCACTCTGATTAATGGCAGATTTGACCTCCCCTATTTTGACAATATGATTGAATTCTTATGACAAATAAGACAATGCTATTTTAGGCTAAGAAATTGGGTATATTATGGCTATGATTTTGGAATAAGATATCAATCATATCAAGAGTTCGTTTGCCTTAGATCTTCTATCCTTCGGAAAAGACTTCAAATCATAATTGTAGCACTATAGCTGCAAAGTGATGTAGTAGTTTATGACTGCAATTGATAATGTGATGTTACTATAATGTCTATATCTCGTCATATAAATTCACTTCATCAAAAATATTTTTTGCAACTCCGGTGATTATTGATGAGATAGTTTATTAATGGTTTAGGAAATGTTTTTCGTTCTTCAATACAAAATGATAAGAATAAGAAAAAAGAAAAACCTTTAAATCTGAAGCAGAAGTGCACATTAAGAACAGAAATCTTTAAACCCATCATGAAAGCAATCCTCAAACCTATGAGTAATAGCATTGGTCCGAAGTGGATATCTTTTGATAGCATTTATAGTTTCGTCAATTACTCTATCAAATGCTATTGTTGGGACTGAAACATATACATGAATATGCTACGAGTAATTTAGTCCTTTAAATACTCCCTCCGGTTCTTATTAAAGTTCTCACTTTCCTTTTTGGGATGTCTCTTATTTAAGTTCACACTTCCATTTTAGGAAACAAAACAGTGCAAAACAGTGCCAAACAGTGTCCAAACAGTGCCAAACAGTGCACTCCACAGTAAAGTCAAATTCATTTTCTTAATATGTGTGAAGTCAAACTGGGAACTTGAATAAGAACCGGAAGGAGTAGAAGACTACAAGTCAAATTGGTTTAAGTTTTAATCGACCGCCTATTCACGGGAGAAGGTAGGCCTCACCTCTCATTCATTGCTTGAGCATTTGCTATCTCAAGAGACAATTTCAAAATGAAGGTGTATATGTGGACTTCTACCACTTTGGATGTGTATGTTGAGCATGCTGAGATGTTAAAATTATTGATGTGTGCTCAAGCTCAAGAATGTCATTTTGAAATAATTTGTTATAGTATAAACATGGTACGAAGTATTTATAAAAAACCGGCTCCATAGTCATATTTTGCGTACCAAGAAGCAAATCATAGTTATATTCTGCCACACTATGCCAGAGTAGTAGAACACTGCATTCATAGTTGTTGCAACAAAAGCTAGAGAATGGGCATATCCAAATTTAATGCCATATGAATAATAAGGGAGATTTCCCAAAATAAGAGTAAATGAAGTTTGAAATTCCAAAATATGATTACTTTGTTTTTATTCTCGAAATGGGACTAACATGACAGTATTTACTGTCATCTTGTAGCTGTGACTGCCAAATAGTTGCAGTACAGTGCATTTAACATGACAGTATTTATTATAATTAATGACAGTATTTTTTAATCATGGCAGTATTTTTCATACATGACGGTAATAACTCCTATTTCCAAGTGTCACATACGGAGTACAACAAAAGCTAGAGAATGGGCATTATCCAAATTTAATGCCATATGGATAAATAACACACTTGAGTATTCTATAAAACACTGTATAATCACATTAAATAATTGTATCGGTTTTTTACAAGAATATTACTAAAATAAGTCATATTTACATAAATATGACTATTCATTACTACAATGTGGTGTTGTGGTAACTTAAGCTCAAAACTTGAACATAAATTACTATGATTTCATTATTACTCTAGCCATTAGTCATATTTTTGTAAATCATCTTTATTTCTAATTGTATACGGAGTATAAAATTGTTGTTAGTACCTACAATAATAAATACTACTCCCTCCGTCCCATATTTAACTCCGGTTTTGACCGGGCACGGGTTTTAAGATAGTGGGATTTGTGTGGTGGAGAGTTATGCAGAGGAGAGAGAAATGTGTAAGAATGGTTGTGAACCACATATTCTTTACCAAAAAGGGAAAAAGGAGATAAATTTGGGACGGATCGAAAAGGAAAGAATGAAGATAATTTCGGGATGGAGGGAGTATGTACTATGTATATACTATGCTCTTATACGTCGTTTTGTACTCTAAAAGTTATTCTTAAACAGTTAAGTTCACCAAATAGTAACTTCACATAAACGGTCAATCAAAACTGCTAATTGCAATCAGCTATTGTCAAATCATTGTTACAATCGCCAAATAGGTAACCAGCCTAACCGCAAACAGCATAATGTCAAATAGGGTTGGACTCGGGCCCGGTCGGGCCGGCGGTTCTATATAGCTGGACCCGGGACCGGACCGGGTAGCCACCGGGTCCGGTCCGGGTCCGGGCCGGGCCGGCCCTCGGGTTTGGTTTTTTTTTTTTTTTTGCTTAGCTACCCATCCCTGACCCCCCCCCCCCCCCTCACCCCCTCATCCCCCCACCCCCCAAACCCCTCCTCAACATCAAGCCCAACCCGGTGGAGCCCAAACAAATGAAAAAAACCAAAAAAAAAAATAAATTTGGCCCGAACCGGGCCCGGGCCCGGGCGGGCCTTGTTATGGGTGACCCGAGCCCGGACCGGAAACCCACCGGGTCGGACCTACCCGGACCGGTAACTGACCGGGCCACCGGTTCGGGCCGGGCCGGAACAGTACCAGTCCCGAGCCAATTCTGGGTCGGGCCACCCGGCCCGAGTCCAACCCTAATGTCAAACAAGTTATGTCTTCCTCAATTTCTATTACAAAAATAGAAATTGATAAAGAATAACTTTCAAAAAGTGAAAATAAAAACTCGTAGTTAAAAACAGGAAAAATCAAATAAAATAAAAATGTTGAAGTCAAAACAATAAACAATTCGAAAATTTACTAAACATTAAAGAATAAAATGAAATAATAAAATTTAAAAAATAAGGAAAATAATAAATATGCCTAAGAAATGAAATATGCATACTTAGAAGTAGAAAAATTAAACAGGAAAATTAAAAACTAAAAGGTAGTTAAGAATATATTTTTTGAAAGAAATGTAGTTCAGAATTAAAAAATGAAAATATACAAAATTGAAAATAAAAATATTACAAAATAAAAAAATCAAAGTAAAAATAAAATATAAAATGTTTAAAATGAAATAAAAAAAAAAGGTTAGATTGAAAACAATAGCAAAAATAAAATTTCAAAAAAGAAAAAATAAAAACCCAAAGGCCTTGTTTGGTAAATGGTTATTAGCTGTTGCTGGTAGCTGGTTGTGTCAGCTGTTGCGAAACAGCTGGTTGTGTCAGCTGTTGCGAAACAGCTGGTTGTGTTGGCTGTTTTGACCGACTGGTTATGTTGGCTGATTATAAATAACTGTTTGGTAAAATTGACTCTTTCAAAATGGCTGATAGAGTGTAAATTGAACCAGCCAAATGAAGAAGTTGCTCCCCTTAGCTTCTTCCACAATCCATTTTTTCAGCTTTTCAAACTCAGCAAGCTAATTTTAAAAGCCATTTACCAAACATTATTATTAGCTTCTTTGACTAATCAAACAGTTGAAATGGGTCAAACAAGCTAAAAGCTGGCTGATAAGCCATTTGCCAAACATACCCAAAATAAAATTCCATAAAATTATACAAAAGGGATGAAGCTTGCATTCCAATTCCACATAATGATTAGATGGAGAAATTGTAATTTATATGTAAACCATCCATCCAATGCTTTCCTCTGAATTTGTTAGACTTAGATACAAACAAGATCTGACCCCCCTCTGTCCATTCCCCTTCGAAGTGTTCCCATCCACTCTCCTCAACTCCCAAACAAAGCCTAAATGTTTTTAACACTTCCTTTTTCCTTGGCCCAAAAAGTTATCATTTCTTTATGGAAATATGTGTGGTTGATACGATTCTTTTTTTTTAGAATAAGTCTCGACCTGACAACTTCACATGGTTAAAAGTTAAAAGTTAAAACGGAGATGGGAAGAACAAAAGGTGACGGGGTAATGAAGCATTTATGAAGTCCAGCAGTCCAGCTTACTGAGAGCAAGTTCTGTCACTGGAATTCCATCTGCACACTGCTGATCATCATCACAAGCTGAAGTAACAAACATTGATTGTCAACGTGATTTAAAAAGGATTAACTAATTTGTGACATTACAATTGTATAAAATTATGTGAAATTGTTGATTTTTTGAATGAAATCAACACAACAGCTTGAACTCTTCAACAGCCTGTAACTTCTCCTTGGTCTTCTGTAGCTCGTTCTGCAGAACCTCTATAGCTTCTTTGTGTCATTATCTGCCCCAACAGTGTTAACCATTCGCAGAACCTTTGTATTTGATGATGAATAATCGACATGTCCTAGCTAAAATATATGTATATATATAAACAGAATCATAGGTAAGCTAAATACTCCATGGTTTGGCTTTCAGTAGTAAAATGCATGTAGTTTTGAAATTTTCTGCACCGCAAATTATAAACATCCAACTTTGAAAATTGCCATATATTTGAAAAGAGTCCTTAGTATGTCATAACAGCATTTTGAGATTGTAATTTGAATGAAGTTCAGATTTTATTTAATTACTTATTACTCCATGCATTCTTAAATTATTGCCTTTGACTTGGTAGAGAGTTTAAGGAAGTGAAATTGTATGGTTGATATTTACTAAGAGAGGCGGAAACTGTGAACCTCATATTCTTTTCCGAGAAAAGGGGCAAATAAGCCCATGTACTAACAAAAAAAGGTCAAATAAGCCCTTATATAGGAGGCTATGTCCGGTCGTCATCATTTGGGGCGGTTCCCGGTGGAAATTTTTGATGCAATTTTTTGAGCATATTATTCATTAAGTCTAGTTTACTCATACCAAATTTAAGCTAAAACTTCAATCAGGAAGGCATTCAAATGAATTCTTGAAGATAACGGCGCAGTTAAAAGCGCAGTTAAAAAATGTCAAACTTAATTAACTTAAATTAGCTGAAATTTGATATGAGTAAACTAGACTTAACGATTAAGATTCTCAAAAAAATCATCAAAAATTCCACCGAGAACTGCCCCAAATGGCGACGGCCGAACATAGCTTCCTATATAAGGGCTTATTTGACCTTTTTTGGTTAGTACGTGGGCTTATTTGCCCCTTTTCCCTTCTTTTCATGAAGGAAATAGAAAATAACTTTGCGACAGTCAAAAAAGGAATGCATGTAGATAGAGAGGATTATTATTTTGGAAATGCAGACATGGTATTTCACTAAAAACAAACCTTGGATTCCAATAGAGCAATCTCAGATCGTAACCGGTCACCTTCTCTCTCTAATGATTTTATTCTCCTTGCTTCATTGCCCAGTCTGTCATTCATCAACTTTAGTTCATTAAGCTGACGACTATTAACCCCCCTTTGTTCGGATAAACTGCTCTCAAGTTCCATTATACAACTGTCCTTCTTAGCCAGAGCTGCTTCCAGCTCCTGTATTTTAAAACGACAGCAACTTCACTCGAGGGAAAACTAGATGGGGAATATGTCAGAAGAAAAAGATTCCAGTTATTTAGACCTGAACAAGAGTTCCAGTGGAGCTCTCAATGCCAGCACCCATGCTACTTTGTGTCCTCAGCTCATCAACCATACGCTTTAACCGATCTCTTTCATCTAAAGCGGAAGCAAGCTGGAGACAAATCATAGAGTAAACAAACAAAAAATTGATCAACCACATTTTCCAAGAAATTGAATAATCTATTACCCACTTGATCATCAGACTGACATGAAAAGGTGTGCAGTAACTCAAGTGGTTGAAGAGATCAATTACTTAAAATTCAACAGATACTTTTGAAAAGCAAGGTCTTAACACCTTAAGTTACAGTCAATGCTGTGGAATTACATAAAAAGACATTAACACTGAACTTAGCAAGACCCAAGAAAACACTTCTAATGGAGCACTTGACATCCACATATCTTACAGATGATTGAGTTTAATTTGATCCTTACTTTGTCTGATCACAAAATCAGCTTTAAAGAGTATTTGAAATGTTCAAAACCTTAATTACAAGTTTCTAAATTAGTTTTGACATTGAGGACTAGACAATCCATGGGTCATCCGGAAACAATCTCTCTGTGCTTTAGTCCAGGGGTAAGAATGCGTACATCCAACCCTCCCCCTTACTCCACCGTAGGTGGAGCCTTTACGGAACTGGATTTATGTTGCTGTTGTTGTATTAGGGACACTTGGACATCCACATATTTTACAGATGATTAAGTTTAATTTGACCCTTAGTTCTGTTTGATCACAAAATCAGCTTTAAAGAGTATTTGACATGTTGAATCCTTTATTACACTGTTTTCAAAAAGTAATGCAATGAAATTCCACATTAGAGACTAGACACATATAAAAGCAGCAATGTAGCAGACATAAAGGACAAGAATAATGAAATGTGCAAGTTTGTCAATTAAATGTAATGCAAACCATCAATTCAGTCCTCTTCAACTCTGACTTTAATAATTCAGATGTTTCCTTTGCCAGGTTGTACTCAGTTTGAAACATGCTTTTATCAAGCTTTGCAGTGTCCAAAGCCACCTCCATTTCTTTCAAACTTGCCTGAGCCTCACCCATTTTTTCCATGCTATCAAGAACCTCTCTGCATACCACACAGAAAATATGTAGGATGAAAGGAATTGGATATGAATCATAAGTCATAACAGAAGTGTACTGAAACTTTGCTCAAAATGTTACCATTCAGCGAAGCTGGTTAATATTAATAAACCATCTTCTAGAGATTTCAAGAGCATTTACACCCCTATTCTAGTATTAGGAATCAAACAATCAAACAAGTTGTGGACTGACACGGACAGGGATTTTTCCACATGAATTTTTCCACGTTTCAACAATCATAAATAAAAACTGAAAATAAGACAAGAAAAGAGCATGGAGTTAGATGCATACTTTTGTAGAGAGGCAAACTTATGAGGTATATCATCAGCACATGAGACACCAGGTAAATCTAGCAATGTTGACTTCCAAGTAGACAGTTCATCCTCCAGCTTTTTAACAGTCACCTCTAGATCTGCTAGTTTAACTAACTCTGACTCCGCCCTATCCCTTCTACCTTTTTCTTCAAGTAATTTTTCCTTCAATATCGCAATGTTCTCATGAGATGATTTTAGCTTTCTAGCTTCACGCACTTCAGCTTCCTGGGGATGGGATGAAAACCAAAGACGCAAAGCATAAGTGTGCTTGCCTGCTAGGAAATTCTCTAGATTAATAGTATAAGCAGCAGCACAATAAGTAGTTGGAGAGGTCATTGTTGCATTGTACCAAGATTTTTTTTTAGCAGGTCGTACAAAAATTCTATAAACCTGGTTCAAAACTTACATAGTTCCTTAGTTCATCTTGCAGATGCTTGACCAAAATATCATTACCATTGGAAGAACTTTCTTGAATGGTGAAACCAGACAGCTTCTTCTCCAGTTCCCCTTTTTGCTCCATGCACTGGTAAAGCAACAAAATCAGTCACCTGAATAGAAGATTCTAAAAAATACAGTGTAATTGATACCAAAAAGAACAGATAATGGAACAATTGCAAAAGAACAGCACCAAAGATAAGAACATATGCAGCTTTGGAGGATAAATTTGATATAATAAAAAAATAATAAATAGATACATACTAAATGCATGGAAAAAGTCAAAAAACTCATAAATCATACATAGAGAGTGGATGATATAAAAGACCCTAAAGAAAAAAGAATTGCAACAATTGAAGTGGTAACCCTAAAGAGAAGAGGATTGCTACAATTACTTCAAGTGGTAACCTCATTCAGTCGCACTCTAAGATCTTGCAGCTGTCCCTTTAGTATGAGTGATTCTTGCTCGGCATTCACAGCTCTGCACTCCATTCTTTCAAGCTGAACAAAAATGAGGTCAGCAATTAGATAATAGCACCCATATAAGTACTTCAATTTATTTTTCTACAAATGGAAGTGTACTGACATTTTTACTTAAGCTGGAGATTGAAAACGTGGATTCTGTTTTTAGCAATTCAAGTTCATTACGCAGGCGCTTCCTCTCTCTTTCTACGTTTTCGGAAAGATTAATGAATTTTCTCTCATTGAGGCTTGCTTTTTCTTCAGCAGCAGCAGCTGCAGACTCTGCCTTTGCACGAAGATTCTTTTCATGTTGAAACTTCAGCTATCCATCAAACAAGATTATCGAAATGTTATGCCTAGAAATATATATGAATAAATAATAAATTAGCAAAGTCGATCTTAATATGAATTTATCACCATATAATTGAAATGTAGTATAAAAGGGCAACACTGGGTTTTGCACCATCAAGGCAGTATGGCACCATACTGGCTTTCTTTATAGTTTTAACAGAATTTAGAAATTTTGAGAAAAACATTTCTCCTTTCATTTATTGCAAATGAATTAATAGCAGTACATTCTAAAATCTAAACAATTAAGAGAACTCAAAGGTGTTCTACCTCAAGTTCACTGTATAGCTGAAGTTGCTTTGTAAGCCTTTCCTGAGAAGAATCAATCTCCTTCAAGAGCTGCTCTTTAAGAGATTCTTCGCGTCCTTTAGCAGCAGCGAGCTCTTGTTCAGTATAAAGGAATTGATCACGGAAGGTCTTCCTTTCAGCAGCTATGTTTGAGTTCATGTCAACTCAGTGCTCAATATTATAATTCCGATGTGAAATTTGATATACTACGTACGAAATAAACTTTATTCTTGATTATACTATGCAAACAGTATGCTATATAGAAACAAATTAGCAGTAGTAGAAATGAGTGATTCTACAACCGGCTCTATATCACTCAAGAAGCTCTGTGATCTCCCTGTGCATTTCATGTATGAGAGCACATTGCCACATCGGAGCAAAATGTTTTCTGGTCTAGTACACAAAAGTGGGGATTTAAATATATGAGTTCCATTGCTCTAATTCAGTGTCAATGTCAAGTTTTTTAACTACATAAACACAACTAAATCTGCATTTAGTCACTGCAGTAGATTTGATTACTGTGTATAGGAAATTGGAAATCGAGGCTTAATGATTGGCAATTTAACCTTTACAAGATTATAACTATCAATGTATCATCATCATGGCATCATCAGAACCACCATAATGCACAATGATGTTCGGTTCAATGGCATGAAACTGAAAGAAAGCTCGAAAGAAAAGAAGCACATTCTTTTACGGAAACTCCAATATTTCATATCTAAGCATATAGATAAGACAGGTTTGAGTAGATGACTATTAGCCAGGCTAAGAACAGACTGGGAGCAGGGTTAACCTCTAAGTTGAGTTCAGTTCAACATTGTGGAATCGCTAAAAAGATTGTTCTGAAAAGTATATTTCTTGTAGCAACAGATGCCTCAATCACTGTAACCTACGATCAAATTAACCCGTGCAGTTCGCTATGCCTTTGACAACTCAATATTATCTCTTGACAATAAGCTACCAAAACAATGTAAGGTTTTTAAAAATGCATGGCATGTTTACTTAGCAATTTAGCACTTGTGCTACAGTATTGAAACTATTGATCTTCTGTTCTTGACCCACCAGCTTTGCGCAATTCATCATTTAAAGCTTCAAACTGAGAACGATAATCTTGTGCTTGCTTCTCTGCACTGCTCAAGGCATCCAAAAACTCTGACTTCACCTAATGCATGAGAAGTAAGTTGGCACATATCAAAATCAGTTCATTTGTGTTTTAATAATGTATGTATGTGTATTGGCCGTGGGGGTCTCACTTCACATGCTTAAGATAAGGAAAGTGGACCACAGAAATGTGATTTTCAATATCAAATTAATTCAATCCCCTATAAAAATAAACTAGTATCAAATTAATAGACCGCAGTATACCTTAAACAGTTTTTCAAAGCATATGCAGAAAAAAAGTATCATTCACAATTGCAACAGAGCCGCTTGCTTGCGGTGATTTTGCCCTATTCGATTAATTAAACCCCCAAGTACGCTGAAAATGGAAATTATGGTTGCTTTGAGCACAAACACTTTTGCGAAACACAAATAGTATGAAGAAACACAGAAGTTTCGCATGAAAACGTTGAAAATTATTGAATATACACTGGGAAAAGAAATGGTAAGGCGCTGGCGAAAAGTGGAAAACCTGAATAAGGTGAATACGCAAAAAAAAAAAAACAAATCTGAGTAACAAATGGAAAAAGTACCATTTGACGGCATTGGTAAGTGCAAAGCATCTGTTCGGAGGTGAAATGATGGTCCTGAGATGATTCCAGTGCCGAAGGTTCATCCTCAAAGGTTACCAGCTGCTGAGTAATTGAAACGGGGATATTGTCCTCGACGGACTTCACCTCCGACTCCACCCTACGCTTCCGTGACGGTGGGGTCCTGATAATCATTTTCCTCCTCTTCCTTTTTACAATGCGCAGAAACCCTAGAACTCAACAACCCATTAACAGGTTGATCTAACCTGTACAAAGTACAAACATACAGTTAGGAGTACCTCTTCTAGTAGAAGCAGGAAACCAGAAGATAGACAATCCCCTTTGAACACCAAGGGCAAGGGCATGTTATGGATGAGGTGGTGTTAAGGTTGTTTGTATTCACACTTTTAAGGAAGGCAAGTTCTAAAAAAAATTGAAGTGTTTTTTTGAGTTAATTTTTAGGTAGATTCTATGGTACGTACCATACATTTATCTACATGTACCAATAAAAATGTTGTAGTTGAATTATTTAAATTTAAATTAAAATGATGTAATGATTTGAACCAATCAAGTGAGTGATAGGTACGGTACCTCATTTTTTAAATGGATACCGGATTTGTCACCTAATTTTTAATATAATACTAAAAGCTTTGCCATCTGTAGGACTCAAAAGAAGGTAAGATTACGGCATTTATTATACAATCTATTTTTCGGCGCATATCGAGCGAATCCAAAACAAATCTTCCTAAACTACTCCCGCCTGGAAGTGTTCGGAGTGTTTCGACTTTCCATTTTTCTGACGCAAAAACGAAGAAGAACGAAGGGGGAGTGAAGTTAAGATGAAAGAAGATGATTTTCAAAAAAAGAGCACGAGAAGATCAAGTAGTCGGCTGAATCGAAACCTGGTAAGTTTTTTTGGACATGCATGTTACTGAATGTAATCGAATATCAAATTGGAAGTAAAATCAATAATGTGAGTATTTTACATAAAACAATGGCATTATGTTAAGTTGTTTGATTTGTGGCAATATTCATAGTTGTTGTTTGATTTATGGCATAAACAAGTAAAAGTTGTATTACATTTGGAAGAAAGAGTAATCGTTTGTAATCACATAAATAGCAATTGCGAGAATGGCAAAATAGTGGATGAATTGGTAAAAACGTAGAACATGGAGGATTTGTTGATGTGACTATTTATCAGAAGAGTACGGAAGTAGTTTGAAATAAATGTGGTTAAGTTGGCAGTTTCTATGTGATTTATGTCATAAAAAAGTGAAAGTGTAGTTATATTTTCAAATACATTTAACTCTAAATTTAACTCTGTATGTTGGGGTAAAGTAAATAAGGAAATGTCAAAACAATGGCATAATTCGCAGTTGTTATTGTTTGAATGTAGTTGTTGTTTGATTTGTGGCATTATTCGCAGTTGTTGTTTGATTTATGGCATAAACAAGTAAAAGTTGTATTACATTTTGGAAGAAATTGTAATTGTTTATGATGATGTAAATAGTAATTGCGAAAATGCCAAAACAGTATGTAGTAATTGTTTAGTAGATGAATTAAGAAACACGTAGAACAGGGAGGATTTGTTGGTGCGAGTATTAATGACAATACAATGGATGTATTTTGAATGAAAACGCTAAAATGGAGTGAATGTATTTAAGTTGGCAGTTTCTATGTGATTTATGTCATAAATAAATTTAACTCTAAATGTAATTGTGTATGTTGGAGTAAATACTAATTAAGGAAATGTCAAAGTAATGGACTGATTGGGAAAATGTAGAACATGGAGGATTTGTTGGTGTGACTATTGCAGAGAAAACAATGTCATTATTTAGAATGGAAAAAGATCTAAAATAGTGGACAAATTTGGGAAAATGAAGAACATGAAGTAATACTAATATTGTGAAACAAAAGTTATGTAAATGAAAAATTAAATGGTCATAGTTTTCGAAACAAATATATGTGCTTACTACCATGGAATGTGAATATATTGTGAATGTAATGACACTTTATTTGAATTGTTGATATTATGCCATAAAGATGTCATGTTTTTTCAGATTCTTTGTTAAATAGTTGGAGATAGATGCATTTAAAGAATACATAATGAAAAAACGTTGGAAGAAATCCTAATATACTATATTGTGTAAATCACAAATAGAATAGTCATAGTTTTGGAAAAAATATACTCTATTGTGAATATGATGACATTTTATTTGATTTCTTGGTGTTATGGAATAATGATGTCATGTTTTTCCAGATTGTTTGTTTCGTAGCAGTTGACACTTTATTTGAATTGTTTTTATTTTTGCTAAATTAGGTGATTCAAAGATCTTTCAACGAAAATGAATTGGACAATGTTGAAAGCATGCGAATTAACTGTTACTCTAGTCTGAGTGAAGTCGTGAAGAGAATATTGAAGCAACTGAAACCAAATGAGATAGAGGAGTTCAGAAAGACAGTGTTCGGATGGGTGTTGGATGTGGAAGAAATGCGAACTGTGAGTGGTCAACTTCAGCTTGGTTTTCTATGCAACTATGTCAAAAAGGTTAACCACATAAAAGAGACAGAAGTCATTTGCTTCCACATCCAAAACAGTGTAATTAGTTTTACAAAAATAGATTCATGCATAGCATTGGGATTGAAAATGGGAGGTGTGAAACCAACTTTAGAAGAGGAGATGAAAGGACCTTTTTGCAGAAAATATTTTGGAAAAGCAGGTGTGAAAAGAAGCGAGGTACAAAATGCATTGATGATCCATGTGCTATCACATGGATTATTTGGAAACCAAGTGGCTAGGGATTTATCAAGCTGTTATGTGAATTTGGTCGAAGATTTAGAGGCATTCAACACATATCCATGGATTGATGATGTCTGGGCAGATTTGGTGACCAACATGAGAACAAATGCCAAGAGTCTTAAGAAGTGCAAGAGGGAACGTGTGACTCTACCAGGTTGTCTAATAGCATTACAAGTATGAGCTTTTGAAACGTTTACAGGGTTGGCAAAGGCAAATATATGCAAGGTCATTGAAGGAAGAGAAACAGGATTTCCAAGAGCAGTGAAGTGGGAGTTCAAAAAAAGCCGCATATGGAAGTTTTCTGCAATATAATCTTCAAGAACAAACATGTAAATTCGCTTAGTTACTTATTATTTAAATAACATGTGAAGTGACAAGTATTACATTTAAATTGTATTTTTGGGTCTTTTACATGCAGTTTGAATGGGAAAGGATGCAGGCTACAAGATTGGAAATTGAAAATTTTCCAATTTTAAGGGCCAATAGTGGTCTTATAGTTGGAAAAAGAATTGAAGGTGTGGAGGTATTTCAAAAAAAGGAAGGATAAGAAAGCAAGGATTTCAAAGAGAACTGGGAAAAAAGGAAAAAACGCAGATGATGTCGAGGTAGAGGATGATGATCAGGGGGCAGTGGGTTTTGGATATGAGAGAAAAGTGATTGTTGTTTTTAGACAAGTCGGGAAGCTAAGCAAAGAAACTGCCAAATTAATGGGAGAAATGAAACTAATAAAGAAAGCACATAAGAGGAATGAGAGATATCTTAAGCAAATATTGGACAAGTTAGACAACCAAGAGAAGGCGAAGGAGACAGTAAGTGAGGAGAGTGTAGATGAAAGCAGCGATGGTGCAAATGAAAAATCAGAGAGAGGAGATGAGACATAAGATAATACTGAAGACAATAGTGCAACTACAGAAGATAATACTAAAGATGATGATGCATTTGAAGAAGATAATGCTGAAGATGATGGTACAGCTCCAGAAGATAATCATAAAGATTTTGCTGCAACTCTAGAAGAAAATGTCGAAGATAATGCTAAAGATACTTGTGGAGCTCCAGAAGATAATGATCAGGTGGATTGCAGTTTTCCAAACTTTAATATTTTTGGGTAGAAACACAGGAAAAATTTAAGGAAGCAGATGACGGTGGAACAATGGAAGAAGAAAATGTAAGTGAGGAAGGAAGAAGTCATGACAAGAATGTTAAAGATGCAGTAGACAAAGATGGAAGAGTGGATGAAGAAGGTGAGGGTGCAAGACTAGAAGAAGCAAGTGGGAAAGGCAAAAATAATGAGAAGATTGATAATGATGCTTGGGGAGATGTGAACACCCAATTTGTGAATGAAATGATCACAAGTGTGGATGAAATAGAAAAACAAATGCTAGCTAAAGCGAGCACAACTGCTGACATCAATGCGAAAGCGGTAAGATTTTTGTTTTACAAACCTTAAACAAAAAGAAAATTAAATAAATGAATAACTTTATGTTATATGAGTAGTTGTGTTGATTTTTTATTTTTTTGTGTGTTGGTTTTACTAACAGGATATGCAAAAAGGAGTTGAAGGGAGTGAGATGAGGGAAAGCAGAACAAAGCGTAAAGAAGTTGAAAAGAATGCAAGTATATTTTGGAAAAAGTTTCAAATATTTGAAAAAAAAGTTCCAAATATTTGGAAAAAGTAAACTATAAAATATTACTAAATTACAGGTGAAGACCATATGTGCACAAATGCAAAGACCAAAGCGCAATGCAAGGACCCCATACCGATATACACCTGCAGAAACTAAAGTTCAGGCTAAGAGTAGAAGGAAGCAAATAGCTAAGAGAGAGGTAGAGGGAACTTATTTTCCTCCAAGAGAGTATGGACCTTTTGCGGAAGACCCGACTGAGAGACCACCAGAAGAAGAAATATAAAAGATGGAAGAATATCTAAAAGTTGGTCTCTTGAAGAAATTGAAGAAAAAGGGATGTGATAGAAAATACAGGGTTGAAGAGGAAAACATGCACAATGTCCCGTTTCTTCTGGATATGCACAAAATAGAGTCCAAAACGTGGTTGTATAAGTTGTTTGTGAATCCATAATGGCTAGATGATACGGTAATGATTTACTTTTACTACTAAAACAGTAGGTTGTAGATCTCAATGTAAAATATGATATTAAAATAGGTACTGTATTAGATTTATAACATTTGATTTTGGTTTTAAATTTGTTTGCAGCATATTGATGTGGCAATGTTTTACTTGAATATGAAACAAGTGCACTACAGCATCAAGGACCCCAAATACACCACATGTGGCTCATTTTTTATGCAAGTGCTGAGGCGTGAAAATGAAGAAATTAAGAAGGGTGAGTCTTCAATCCAAAGTGCAGCAGACAATCCGGTAATTGCAGACGATATCTTAGGGATTACATATCCTTTTGATCGAAGTTGGGCTCAGTCAGATTTCGTTTACATACCTCTGAATACCGGAAACCACTGGGTACTGCTAGTTCTGGAAGTAAAAGAAAGAAAAATAAGGATTTACAACTCCAACAGCAGAAAGGCAAATTCTTTAAGGGAAATCAGACCTTATGTGTCGAGCATTGAGTGCTTTCTTCCAAAAATAATGGACATCCAT